AAATCCCTTGGAATGTGTTACAAATTATTCAGAGCAAAGGATGTGTGCTATAACCTCAAAACAGATGCTCTTAAATTTCTTGGAATATTATTTTTCTTCTGCTCTTCGTGAACTTCTGGGTGTTCCATGACTTGTGTCCCAGGTGAGGTTTGTTTTGATGGGAGTCCCAGCTGGTGTGTTGGATCCTGATCTGTTGGTTCTTTAGGGGACAAGAGAGGTTTTTATTAATTCCTAAGTGCATTGTTGCGTGTGACAAAAAAATGTTATGCATTCCTTCTTGGAAAATACCAAAAATGAGATGAAGAGAAATGCACCTTCCCTGTAGATTACAGGGGGGTGTTGGTTTAATCAAGATTCCTCTCAGAGCGTTGGGTTCTGGGCTGATTTGTTTGTCCCAAATGTGACCTGTGTGTGTAGCTTTGAACTGGTGTGAGGCAGCCACTTTGAAAGCTCAGCAGGAACAGAAACTAAACTTTGTTTGAGGTTCTATGACTCAAAATGAATATTTACCTTACTTGGGAAGCAGTTGGACAGGAAAGAATCCTTAGTGCTGTTTAACTTGGTAAGAGCTGTCTTTTGAAGTCTATGGCAGTTAATTTTTCCTTAAATGCAGTTTCTCTGCTGCTCTCATTGAGTTCTTTATTAATATAAACAATCAAATATCTGAGGACTTCAATGAGGTCTACTGCTCCTTCTCCTTAGATATTTTCAATATATATGCATTTTTGTTTTGTGTAATGTTTTCTTAAGTTAAAGAAAAGGGAATTAATAAATATTTTGTGAAATACTGCCCGTCTAGGACTTGTGTTTGTCATTGAAATGCAAAATCAGCTACTGCCATGAAATTACTGGGCATCAGAGATGTTCAGTTTTGTTGTTAGGAGTGAGAGTTTTCTGAAAGGGAGGAGAACTTTGTTGCTCTAGAACACTTAGTGATAATAAATGGCTTTAACCAAATGCAGTAATTGTGTTCCTTCTCGAAGGGGAACTAAATTTAAGCAGCTTCTTTTCCGACCAAAAGCTGACAGCGTTAGCTCTGAAGTCTGGTGGTTTTTTCAGACCAGAAAAAAATTGTAACTAAAAAAAAAAGAAAAGGCACAAAGTAGTAGCTTGTTTAGAGCAAATACACCACTTGCAGTAAGAACATCAGGGTGAGAGTCTTTTATTCACCTGTGAACTTGTACAGTGCCCAAATATGAGGGACTTCAAAACCAGACCATTACAGAGAGAAAACTGGTTTCTATCCTTTAGTAAGGCTGTTGAATTTGGCTTCTGTGTGCCTGGAAAAGCTTAACTGGGCAGCCAGAGACAGCTCCAAAATGGGCAGTTGATTAGAAAACTCCAAACCTTTTGAAGAGTTGAGGAATTAAGTCAGGGATTCACCTGGGCATGTTCAAGAGTTATAACTCTGATGATGGCCCAAGTTTCTGATAATCCTGGAGACTATAATACAGAGAGGGCTTAGCAAGTAGCAAAATGATATCTGACAATGATAGGAACTTGCTGTTACTGGTGTAACCTTAGAATTTGGCATCTTACTAGTGTTGGTTTGAATCTTTGCATCCTCGTATATATAAAAGGATTTGAATTTTGTATAAGGTGTTTTTATTTATATGTAACTACTGAATTACTGAGCTGAAGATTGCGCAAGACTTCAGCATCTAATGGCTGTTGTTGTTGGCTCTTCTGTCAGAGCTGTGATGTTCATTGTGGGGGTGATGTGGTGTCAAACTCAATTGTGATCTTGTACATCAGAGGAGTGGAGGCTCAGAGCTGGCTAAGATGAGGGTGTGGATTTGCCAAGGTATGTGAGTCTGGAAGGCTGAAGCACCAAGCGTGAAGTGGCAAGTGGATTTACTTCTCAAATCATAAACTTTATCCGGTCCAAGGACGAGGGTGGGGCTGAGATCAGTGTCTGGATGTTTTGGAAGAGCTGAGTGGCTGAGCAGAGTCATCATCAGCTGAAATTTAAGTAACGTAGCCGAGGAAATCTGTGCACTCCTGGCATGCTCCAGAGAATGCTGGTGCTTTAAAACACTTAAAAGTCTGTCTTAAAGTTACTTGATTGTCTTTAGAGAAGAATGAAAGATGAAGCAATCCAGAGGAATTCTTGCTATGAAGCAGGATTTGCTCCAGTTGCTCCAAGCATCCCTGTTTGTAATAAGTGTGTACGTTGTGTGACTCAGTCTTCAGCATCTACAAAATATGTATTGGATTAAATTGTTATTAGAACATAGCAGAGGACATGGTTATGAGTAAAGCTCCCTTTAATAGTTCATCTGAACTCACTTTCATGAGGTCTCGTACTGTTCTAGTCCAGTTCATGTTTCTATTCCCATTTAAACGATTCTTTCCACATCAGTTTTCTTAAAGCTGCCACTGCACCTGCATTGACCTTGACATGTTTTATCCTAAAAAAACCCCCAACAAACCAACAATCAGAAAATGGATTGATGAGAGAGACTGAACACCAAAAGCTTTACCAGAGCTGGTATAGATGACGGTTCTGATTTCTTTTTAAGTGAGTGATACCAACCTTGCTGCTGACACTCCACGAGAGACCTGCGTTCTTTAATGGAGTTTTCTTGGATGTTCTCAGATGATGAGACAATACTGTTTGAATGTGAAATGACAGAGCAGTATCTGGGCTTGTGTATGGGGAGGTAGATGTGCTGAGTAAGATCCAAGATCTGCTTGGCCCCACATTGTACCCAAAATGCAGGAATTCTGCACAATAAGAGTTTTATGTGGAATTATTTCATCTGGACATAGATATGTGTTAAATTCACCTTTGCAGTATTATTTTCTTCATATCTTTGACCCAGCTGATTTCTTTTCCAAGAAATCCTTTTGGTTCCAATAGTCCCTTTGAACGCTGATGGGTTTGAAAGCCAACCAAGGTTGCATGTTAAGGTTTAGCTCTTTGTAGTTGAAACCCACTAGTGAGCCCATAATCAGCTGCCAAACTTTATAAAGGAAACATAAAATATTATGTTGCCCACAAATACCAGCTGTAAACCACTAATGTCTGCATAGGTTCAGTAACTTCAGAGTCACAAAGTTTAATTGACTAATGGGGTAACCTGTGGCAATCTGCTGCTCTGCAGCCAGGGGTTAGACCTACTGTGAGCTGCAGGAGGAAGTTTTACATAGTGGTTCATCCCAGTTTTACTCTGTTTTTCTTCAAATGGCAGATAAGCCTTGAGGAAAAACATGCTGGCAAGGGCCAGTGTTCAGAAGGTAAGCACTGTTTTTAAAGCAGAGGCAGCAGTTATCAATTAAATCAAAATGGTTTGAGGAAAGCGATCTTCGTGAAGAATGGCTCTCCTAAAGTTGGAGCTCTGTGCAAGTAATTTGACTGACAGAAATGGAAACCTTTGACTTAGATAATAACCTTGGCCAAGGGAGCAATAGAATTGATACTGTGTGTGCAGTGTAGGCTGTGCCGGTCTGTAGGAGCAGAGCAAGAAGCAGTCTCAAGATATGGATTGATCAAGCAATGTTCAAGTTTTTGTCAGAGTAGGGAGCTGCAGATTTCACCAGGGGAAGGATTCTGAGTGTCCTGGGGGCTGAAAGCAGAGAGGAATAGTGCTGATGTGTGGGATTGGTGCCTGGGACTGGGCAGGAGGGGTGGTGTGGTGGAGAGATTGCTCTGTGTGTGTGGCAGGAATGGAAGTTCTTGGTGCACTTGTTCAAGCTGAGTAAAGCTGGGCTGATGATCAGGTCTTACCAAAATGCACAAAACCTGTGGCCACTGACACTGTGTTGCCCTGTACACCTTGGCTGGTTCCTGCCTGCCTCAGGGGATTCCAACCAGCTTCGTGCCATGCTTTGCTGGAGCTTCTCTGAGATAAAGGCAAGGTGATGGAATTCCACTTGTGGTGGAATGCCATGAAAAGCCAATGGGGAACAACATACAAGTCAAATACAGGCTATTTTAAGCGTTGTTTACTCCCTGCACCAGTGAGAGGTTAATGATGCACCAGGGTGGAGGGACTGAACTGGGAACAGAAGGGGAAATTAAGCTGGTAAATCTGAAAAATATAGGCAGTGATTCAAAGGTAAAAAGCATGATTTAATAGTAAAGATAAAGACAAATGGAAGAGAATAATTAGTGCAGGCAATGAAAGTGCCCTGTAGATGCTTTGTGGGTTTTAGTGTTTTTAGTGTTTTAGGATACTGGCTGCCTTGTTCATGTAGCTGAACTGTAGGAACTTCTCCCCCATCTTTTCCTTATCTTTATCCTTATTTTCCATCTGTGCTAAAGAAAATATTTTCCTGACAGGAGAATGTACTTCTTGTGTTATAGGAATATGTCTTGTGCTAAGATGCATAAACTCTTAAAGTTTATTATATCTGTTCTTAAACCATTTTATGACTTAAGGATTCTATTAGTATTGTTTTGATGTCTATCAAAAGTAGAACATTAAACACTTATTTCTCTAATGTATCACATACTTCTTTAATCCTGTTAAAGAAAATGGTAAGCTGGGACCTATGACACCAATAAATATTCAAGTCATCTGAGTAGAAATACACTTAGAGGTCACTGAAATAACTTGTCCTCACCTCAGATTTTGTGTGGCCCAAGTTTCTTGCAGCAGGTTGAACTCACTTGGTTTAGAATAACCTTGGAGTCTGATTTTGATTTTGGGGCCTAGGACTCCTGTTTCAGCTGCATAACAACTGGGCCTTGAATATATACAGCTTCTTACAGGACTGTAGGCTTTGAGGGAGAAAGAAGCTTTATGCATTTTTTCTTGGAAAATACCAATACTAGAAATAGAAGTGGAAGAAACTTCATGCATGAGAGCAGCATAATTGGAGGAGGAGACAAAACATATCAGTATTGATGACTTGCTTTTTGAGATTTTAATGGAAATGTTCATTTGTACAGTTGGAGCAGCTGGGAGATGCTCCAGTGACTGAAATACTTTCTGCTAATGGAATTTTGGGTGTCAGTTATAGTGTCTGAATGCTGCTTTCTTTTTCCTCTGCAGTGATCTAGAAAAAAATAACATCACGAGAATCACGAAGACGGACTTTGCGGGGCTGAAGAACCTCCGTGTCTTGTGAGTATAACACGAAACTTGTTGTTCTTTTACAAGACTGTGTTAGTACTGAGATGTCCTTAATTGTAGAGAGCAAATGGTGGTAATTTCTACACATTATTCAGTTGTTGGTGTTCTTTTAAACCAGGCAACTGGAACAGTTTGTGATGTGAAACAGTAAATTTTAGTTCTGCACTCAAGTGAGTGCAGTTTGAGTTATTTAATTCTTTCCTACTGGCTTTTAATTAAACCTGTGGTAAAATCTTTGTCCACTATACAATCATTATGCATAAACCAATGATACTGAAACACTAGCAAACAGGACTTTCAGATTTTGGTCACTTTAAGGTACAGGCACATCAATAGCACTTTTGCAGAAGATTTTTGCAGGAGTTCATTAAGCAGAGCTGTAGAAGTTGTACAGAAGGAAAGCTCTGAATTGTTTTAGTTTAGTATGCAGTAATATAAATATTTTAGGTGGGGCTATCTCATGATCTCAAAGTATCAGTCAAGAGCTTAACCATGCTCCTAAATGGGCCTTGAACATTGTAAGGGGAAACATGAGTTTGTCATTCCTGGTTTTGCATTTTCTCTTACCTGAATCTCAAACAGCACCACTAAGTTCATGATGACAAGTTTTCCTTTGAGTAGCTTCTAAAATAAGGCCTTAAAACTGCAACAGTTGAACTGTTACAATCATTTAGTGATAATTCAACTAATTATTGAAGTCCTGCTAAGGAAAAGGCAAGTCATTTTTTCTGCTACCTTAACACTTTTGAACAACTTGTCATACACTAAGGAAACAGTTCAAGCCTATTGAATGACTTTGTGTTCCTGTGGTGTTTCTCTCATCTGTAGCAGTGGAGTTGTTTAGATTTCCCTTGGCTCCCATCCCAACTGTCAATACCATTTTGGGAGTCTATTCAAATAAATGAACTATACTATATTAATGCCAGTAGTTGTTTTGTTTTTGTTGGGTGTTTATACTGTCAGACATTGTCTAATGTCTGTCATTTATGCCCTTCACAATAAGCAGAATGTACAACTGCTTTTCTTATATGACTTTGTTTGTCCTATGTTCATTATGAGTTTATGTAACTCATTTGCTCAACCTTGGAGTAGCGTGGTGTTTGCCACAGAATTCACTGGGAATAAAACACTCTTCAAGTTTTTCTTAATTTTTTTTCTTTTTGGATTCTTCATAATTCTGGCAATTCTACATCACTCAACTCCTATTTTCCCTCTTTTCCTCCCCCCCATGTCTGTTGGGGGTATGGTGGGAAGCACAAACATGCAGCCTGTCTCAGTGATCCTAGACAGGTATCCTAGTCCTATTTGCAGACATCAGAATGAGGACTAGAAACAAGTGATCTGCAACAAACACAACAGCACAGCAGAAAACAAAAATCTTCTGGTCTCAAACAAACAACATGGAAGATATTCCTTTGTACAACTTTTCCTTTTATCCCTCAAAACTCCATCTTTTTTCCTTAGGCAGTTTGCCCCTTTGTTCAGATGTTCAGATTTTCCTCAGTTTTATTTTTTTGACCTTCATACACAGTCTTAGCTGTGGAACACTCTCTTTGCTGCCTGTCCTCTCTGCTACTCTGCAGCTGAACAGCTCTGAGCATCCTCAGAGAACTGAGGGAGAGGAGTGGCTGTTCAGAACAGGCAAGGACAGTCCTTTCTCCCTGGTCTTCGCTGAGCCCAGACTTACTGTGTGTTAAGTTCTTCCTTCTTAGCTTGAGCTAAAACCACATGGGACATTCAGAGATGTTTTAGTCCCTGCACACAAGGGCTCCTACAGAGGCAGAAATGGGGCAGTGCTGGAAGGCAGCACCGAGGGAGGGGAAAAGCTCGGCTCAGTGGGACTGTTGGTGTCTGTTCCTTGGCTTCCACTTCACCCCCAGAGCATTTCTGCTGTGTGAATGAGTAGCCATCCCCTGCACAGTGTCAATCAAAGAGAAGTCAGCCTCCTTTGCTTATAATTTATCCCTGCCTTGGTTTCAGGGTGTGCAGCAAAGCAGGATCAGGCACAGTGCAAAGCTGGGGCTCATCCCTTGTGATTTTACACCCTGTGGGACTGTTTGAAGTTGTCACACAGGTGCCTGGGCTCTATTCCTGAGGGAGATTGCATCCCTTTGGATTACTTACCAGGGTTTGCTCTGGAGAAAGCCTGAAATCTGTGAAGAACAAAGTCTGGACAGAAAAAAGGAACATTTCCATTGAGTGAACTCCTGCTGCGGGCACCACAAGTCAGTTATCTCGGTTATGTTACAGAGGATGTAACAACCAATCTCTAGGCCAACAGCTTTCTGAGCAAAAGGGTTATGGTTATAGAATTTTAGAAACAGAAATATTGACAAATCTGGCAGTCAGGAGGCAATTTTGGAGCAGTTTCCTCTCAGTGACCAAGGGAAAGAGTACTCTGTCCAGGTTTTAAAATAATCTCCAGTTACAACTGTTACTGACACTTCTGTGAAAAGCACTTTTATAACATATGAGGAGAAGTGGGGAAGCTCTTATATTGTGTTAAAATTAACTGGTATTTTTGGAATTGCAGGCACTTGGAAGAGAATCAGATTAGTGTGATAGAACGTGGAGCTTTTCAGGATCTGAAACAACTTGAGCGACTGTAAGTATCTCTATTTATGCACCTGTGGAAAAGCTACAGTTTTTCTACCTCACTGTTAGTGGCCATCCACAATATTTCATGATTATGAAATTAACCTTCTTCTGGAAAAACAGAGATGAGTGCCTGCCTAAATTAAAGTATGCTTTTAAGTATTGCTAAATTTATATTACATGATAGCTAATAACTGAAATAAATGTAGAGGTGCTTGCCAAGAAAATAGAACTGGCAATGAAACCAGAGCCTCAATAACATCATCAAAATGACATTATCTGGGCAACTCTTAAATCTGATATGTGGGTGAAAAGATTTTTTATCATTATTTCAAATTATTATATATATTTGTATTTTTATATATGTGTCTTTGCTAATGGAAGTTGGAATTCTCTCCCTAGAGATCCGCAGTATTTCTAAAACTGCCTTTGTACTTACTCTTCTGATGAGCTTCATCATAACGCCAGTGATTCAGGGTGTCATGCCAGGCTTGCAAAACAGACTGTAGCTTTCCTCTGCTTTTGACAGCAGTTGAGTTTACTCAGAAAAGGTGAATATAAGTCTCTTAATCCAGAATCGATTTATAGAAAACTGGTGGCCCTGCCAAAGTATAAACTTAAATATCAAAAAGGACAAAAGTAATGCCATCTCCAACTGCTGCTCTGAGCTGGGCATGAAACTACAGTAATTCTGTCTGCTGACGGTGGGAGCAGAAAAAAAATCTGTAATGCTGAAATACTTTGGGGAATTACTCTTTGTTAGAGGTAGGTGATGAGAACAATATCACAAGCTGGTTTGGAATGCAGGGGGTTTTTATGCTTGATTGGGAAGTGTTATCTGCCAGGCATTTCTTGCAGGACTCGTTATTTTCTCACTGATATTTTCTAAAGCAGCTTTCAAGAGTTAAGTGCCGACTAGCAATTGTTCAAGAGGAGTCTGGAGTATTGAGCATATGTATTAAAGCTGTTTCAGATGATCTCAGGATTAGATTTGCATTTGAGTTGTTGAACTAGTGCACTGAACTTTGAAAATTAATTTACTCAGGATTTTTTGTTGTGCATTAGAAAGCTCCATTTACGGCAATAAGGGAGATGAATTTCAAATTCTGATTATAAGCCATTTTTACCTATATTCCATTAGAAAGTACTTTTAGGAGCAGGGTTTTGCCACAGCTGATTTATTTCAGTAAAAAGAACATCACAGATTAGTTTTCTAAAATTAAGCAGAGCCTGATATTGTAGAAAACTGTTTGTTCACATTCTAACTCATCTTGGAGAGTCAGTATCCTAACTAAGTCCTAGTTTAAAGCTTATATTTTTGTGTATGCATGTATATAATACTACGTCTTTCTCATATTTATCTTTAGATAAAGTTTCATTTAGTTATGAAATGAGTTTTGAAATAATTTTAGGAGAAGGACTGGCAATCAGTAGCCAGAAATGATACTCAAGTGTCATCTTGGTGTGCTTTTCTGCACAGCCTGCTCTGTCAGCAAATGAAAACAATATATTTTGTGAAAGCAGAAGTTGGGAAATACGATACCTTTAATAGTGTCTCTTTAAGTCTGTGATATTTGAAAGTCTTACTTTTCTTTTTTCCCCCCTGTGCGAACTCTTAACTTGGCCTGTTGAACATTCTGCATCTCTGCTTCTCTTTTAGGATTGCCTGTCATTAAAATATTTCCTAAATTAATGTAGTATGAAAGGGAGGCCTGGAAACGTGCGGCTTTTTGGGATTTTAGCTTAAATCACTTTTAGGACAAAACTGTAAATCTGGCTTTTTTGCTATGAGTCAGTAGGCTTTGGAGAATGAACTGTGGAAAGTTTGGCGACACTTATAAAGGGTAAATTGCAACATTTTAGGTAACATTAAGGCTGTTTTATTAAGTATTGTCAAACATTGCAAAATGCTAATGAAGAAAGTATGCTGGTTGCATTTGAAAAAACCAACAAACTGGCTTTTTTCCATTTAATTTCTTTCAAATAATGAATAAAAATCACTTATATTGCTTCGATTTTTTTGGACTAACATTCTTTTTTGATCTGTCGAAGTGGATGCAAAAGCAATCATTAACGTATTTTTAAACAAAGCAGCTGCATTGGGTCAGACTTTAAAGAACAGGAGTAATTTCTATTCCTGGCAAAATACCATATATAAAGGTTTTCCATTCAAAGTAAGAGTGGAAGTGTGTTGTTCCACTTCTCACCTCATGGCAGTCATTTGAAGGGCATAACCCTGGGTGAATGTTGGATCTCGTTATATTTTCACTTGTCTGGATATTGAAGCAACTGCATTGTTACCATCTGAGCAAATTAGCAGAATTTTGTTTGCCGTGTCCTGCACAACCGTCCAAGTAAACCTTAAATAAGGTGTCTTTAGAGCTGTTACCCACTGCTGCCAAATGCACCATGGGGATGGCCCTCCAGTTGTTTGGGTTTTGCTCTGGGTGTATTTTTTGTGGGATAGCAATGCTCACAATGCCAGGGGAGCAGGATATTGTCAAAATTGTACGTTGGCTCAAAGTTTGGCCATATCAGTTGAAGGAAGGACATCATGCAGAGTTTGGTAAAATGACAGCACAAAGCTGACAAGTGAAGCCTTGGGGAAGGTAGAAGCCACTTCTTGCTTTGGAATGTTTGTACTCAGCTTTCCAAGTCTGCAGCAATTTTCCCCATTGCCTCTTAGCAGAACTCAGTGTTTTCAGTGTGAGTTGTCCTGTTGAATCCTGAGATTCAGAAACCTTGAGAGTGACCAGCAGTACTCATCGTGGAAAAGCCAAAGTGTTTTTAGTGCTTTTATTGCAATAAGTTTTATGTAGTTTTATTCCAGAACATAAAGCTGAGTGGTGAGGTAGCTGACCATAAAAAGTCAAGCAGCTGAGACAACACTAACAGCCATAATTTTTGCACACAGCTTAACTACCCACTTCATTTTACACTCTCACTGAGCCTGGGACCAACCAGCTCCTGGGCAGTGTAATCCTGGAAAACTTGTGAGTCAATGGACTGCTCTGAGGTGCTGGAATGACTTCAGTGAGTCTCTCAGGCTGCTCAGCTTCTCCCAGGGTTCTCTGGCCGTCTCATCTCGTGTGCCAAGAGGATCAAGAAGCAACAGGCTTGGGGTGGGCCCAGAGGATGAATTGACATTTCTTCCAGAGCCAGATGTGTGTGACACATCCATGTGAAAAATGAGGCAGGATATGAGACACCAAAGTAGCTCTGAAGTTCTTCTTTCTGAAAAGGGCTCCTAATTGATGTGGGATGATAGACTGGCCAGGGCAGATATGTGCATCTGTTCAGTAAGTGTTTAGGGAGGAGTTCTGGTAAAACTTGGTTGTACCACTTGCAAATTCTGATAGTCTGCCCTACTTGCCAGGGTAACAGTCTTACCACAGTGTCCGTGCCTGGTGGACAGAAGCTTTCAGGAACTGTAGGTGTTGGGGGTTTTTTTCCTATTTCTCTTCAGTGATTTTTTTTCCTGGTAGTTAACTGTGACTGATGTTGTTTTCTGTGGTTGGATGTATTGTGCACGTGCCCATCCAAACAGAGTGCTGTGCTGGCACAAAGTGTTTAAACCCAACTCTATTTTGGATTTTGGCGGTTCAGTTTCGTGGTTTTAGGGTAAAACGCTCGTGGAACTTCATATGCCGAGAGGATCAAGAAGCAACAGGCGAAACTGGTGGGCCTAAAAGATGAACTGACATTTCTCCCAGAGCCAGATGTATGTCACACATTTGTGTGAAAAATGAGGCAGGATATAAGACACCAACAGATCCTGACTTTTCCACGGCCAACTGCCAGAAATTGTCACGTAGCTGTATAATCTTCAAAAGACTGGACTTTGGCTGATGGCTGGTTCTTTCTACTCAAATTAGTGTCTTTAACTAGCATAAAAGATCTCAACATCTGAAAGCACTAAAACTGTGTTTTTGTTGTTTAGGGGAGTGGGGGGAGAAATGTATAAGCATGGCCAAATCTTCTCAAAGCTGGGAAAAATAATTAGCTTTAAGAAAAAAGCAAAAAGCTAGAATCCAAATTTTAACCCCAGCATATACAATGTATGGTTTTGGTTTTGTCCACATGAAGACAGAGGTTAAAATGGAAATTATATTTGACTTGTAACTGCAGAGATGCTACTATATATTGAGTCTTTGTAGGCAGCTTCCTAAATGCTTGATTACGATATTAAAGTATATTTATTTGGCACAGTGTACTGTAAAATTGCTATTAGTGACCAAAGATGCTGAGGAGAAGAATAAGTTGTTAGGTGATGCTTCACAATCTGGATCTCATAAATTGAGGTTGAGCAGGCTTTAAATAAATCATGTAATACAAAAAGCATCTTCCATAATTACCGTGCTGAGAGGAGAGGTTGGTAGGTGCTGCAGAGCAGTCAGCAAAGCAATAAAAGCATTGGACAGTTCTTTGCTGTTCTAAACAAAAGCAAATCTTTGGCAGCCTGGACAAAGCCACAGTGTTTATGCAGGGTTTGCAGCGTGTGCAGTTGGGATGTTTTTCTGGGGCTGTGTACACTGCTCGTCTAAGGAGCCACATGGATCTGTAAAGATGTCAGACAGTTTGAATGTAACCTTTCAGAAAAAAAGCTTTATTGCTTTCTGTCACCATTTCCCTTTGTCATTATGGGTAACATATCTAATTGGAAATCCACGATCATAAAATGCTTATCTGTAAAGGCAGGAGAACAAAAACACACTGAAATGCATTTAGAGCTGTGATCTGATGTTTAATCAATTTTATTACTTGCATACTTCCCTCTTCCTTCTCCAACTACCACAGTGAGTTGATGTAGGACCAGGTTTGCTGCCAAACTGCCCGGGAGCTGGTGGTGCTGTAGGAGAACTGCTCAGCTTTTGCCTGTGTCCTGCTGCCAGGACAGCTCTTCACACTCAGCCTTTCCCCTCTGGGGTGTGAAAGGTAAATTGGAGGCGTCTGGAAGCTCTGGTGTCTCTGCAGGAGGAGGGTTGGCTTTCTTTGTGTTCAAACCAAAGA